GATCACTGCCATGGCGGGGTGCTACGCTGCAATCCTTCGTTTTCCATTCTCCTCTCTGGATTTTGGGCATGCACGCACACATGTCTGGCATGATTTACAAGCCTCCAGGACCAGGCCTCAAACCGCTGTTGACCATGTGCGGGCCCAGTGCCTCAACTCGCGCTTCCTGCTGGCCCCATCATGAAGATATTTTTAAAAACTACTTACTTGGGCCAGTCCGCGACCTGGTGATTAAGGTGACTGGATCCCACACAGCAGACCACCCAGTTCAAGTCCCAGACCTGCAGCTTAAGAAACATACTGGGTACATCTGCATCCCCAAATTCAGAAACAAAATCACTTTTGTGATTTAATAATAAATATGCCTTGGGGCCAGCAGGTGGTGTGGTGGTTAAGGCGCCGGACGCGCACATGGTCGACTGCAGTTTGAGTGCCAGACTCGGCAGCTTGTTTTCTCACCTTTCTCTCTCTCGAGTGCATGTGCTCTATAGCATGTTTAAAAACAATAATAATAAATAAATCATTCTTTTTAGGGACCAGCAGATGGCATAATGGGTATGTTGCTTTACTCCTACATAGTCAACTATGGTTCCAGCCCAGGACCCAGTGGCTTAAAACTCATGCCTGTGTGTGTGCGTGCCCAAGATCCCAAGAGGAGAATGGAGGAGAAGGGATTGCGGCGTGGCCATCCCCCGGGGTGGTGGTGGTGGTGATTTCTCACTTTCTTTCTCTCTCTGTCTCTCTGGTGAGCTAAAAAATATAGCAAAAATCTCTCTAAAAGTAAGTAATAAATAAAAATGAAGGCGCATTGAACGAGATTTGAGACCCCTGCCCCAGCTTTGCTGTGGAGTGAAGGTGTGGGTGATTTCTGTCAGGAATGAAGCCCCGGGTACTGCTGGTGCTGGGGTTGCCGTGTGTGTACGCCCCAAAGAAAATGTCAGCTGCAGGCAGGCTGGGGGAGTGGGGTTGGCCATGCGTCCCGGATTCAAGGACGCTGCTCTACCCCAGCAATTGGGGTGCAGGAGTTACACCCACCAGACAGGCGGAATCTGGCTAGTGCAGCCAGGGAATTCTGGAAATCGGGGGAGAAGACAAAACCAATTTCCCGATTTCCTCAGTCTGGGGTGTGGGAATGGGTCCGCGATGGCAGAGGGAGGGGAGAAAGAGGCAGAAGTTGACAGCAGGGCTGGTCTGGTTCCGCTGGCAGGAGGAGTGTATCAGTCAGCTCTCCTTTGGTTCTGCTGTGGTAACAAGTGTCTTCCATGTTTCAGTGCCTCTTTAAAACAAAACAAAACAAAACAAACAAACAAACATGGGGGGCCAGTAGGTGGCATGGCACTTAAGGTGCCAGATTCCCACATGGTCGACCTCTGTTCCAGTCCTGGACCTGGTGGTGGGTTGAGAATCACACCAGGTGCATGAGTGTGTGTGCCCAAAATCCAGAGAAGAGGGTGGAGGAGGAGAGTGTGGTGTGGTCATCCCCTGGGGAGTGATTTCTCACTTTCCCTCTCTCTGTCTCTCTCCGGTGAGCGCACATGCCCTATGGCAAAAACATTACGTATGTGTGTGTGGGTGGGTGGGGGCACATGCACTTGCAAGAGAGACAGAGAGACGGAAAGCAACAAACCAGCCCCGGGGGGTACCCATGCTGCAATCTCTTTTCCTCCATTCTCCTACTGGGATTTTGAGCGTGTATGTACACACACTCAGCACGTTTCAACTTGGTTCAGGCCTTGAACTGTGGTCGACCTCGTGGGAGTCCAGCACCTTAACTGCTCTGCCACCTGCTACTCCTCCATTTCCCCACAGGATTTATTTTTTTAGAATAATTTATTTAATTTTATTTATTCGTTTATTTTAGTTTTTAATTTGACCAGAAAGACAGAGAGAGAGAGCAAGAGAGGGAAAGTGAGAAAGCAAGTCACCAGTCCGAGACTCGAACGATGGTCAGCCATGTGGGAGTGCAGCGCCCTTATCCACCATGCCGCCTGCCCCCCCCACCCGCCCCAGGATCTTGACATCACAAT